TGATCCTTGAGGTCCCTTCCAACCCTGGCAATTCTGTGATTCTGTGATTCTGTGATTCTGTGAGTTGTGCCTAGGAAGTTGTCTGTAAGCAGTGCTGAGCCTTTCTTGTAGCTCTGTTCACTTCGTGTGCTTTAGGCATGGATCCATTTTATGGCTGTCTAGGCAGTATCCTGTCTTTTTTTTTTTGCCTTCCTGAAATGCAGTAATCTTTTAGTGGCTTTCAGGTAACATTTTTGTCTCTTTTTCCTCCTGCCTTCAGTTCACAATTCTTACCTTTCAGTGAGATATAGGACATAGTGTTGCTGTTGTCATGGTTGAAGTCCAGGAGGCAGATACAAACAGTGGAGCTTTACAGTAGAGGAAATATCTAAAGAGAGGCAAAGCTCATTGCTAAAACTTACAGAATACAGAGAAGAGATTGGAGTTCAGTTTGAGTTCGTTATTGATGTGTAACCACTCTCAGATGATCAAAAGTAACTTGTGGAAACTGTAGTGTTGGTGCATTTGGGCACTGATCTGAGTTTGTAAAGGCATGGAGGTATTGGAAAAGCAGTTACTTCTGTTACATTACTGTACCCCTGTAATTTCCAGTGCAGGTTTCTCTAGAAAATAGTATTACAGTAGACTAGATTGACTGGTTAACACTATGTTAAATTATCCCCCAAATTGCAGTACATAACTCTTTGATCAAAGCCCATCAGAATGTTTTGAGCACAGAGTAACTGCTAGGAAGCTGCAGACCATTTTGTTGGCAAGGCACTGAGCCTAGCAGCCATAGCAAGGAAATGATTGAGACTTCGGATTGCTGCAATGAATCATTTGTCATCTGGTAAGGACAGGAGAAAGAAATTGTGGCAATGCAATGTCTTTGAACATAGAAAACCTCTGTACTCAGAGCATCTTTGAGTATGCAGTAACACTGAGCTGTGGAGGCTTACCAGCACTGTTCTGTGATGTCAGCAGGGAGAAGATTGCCCAGGCATGGATTTCATGTTGGCAAATCGATCCACTGCAATCGATGGATGAGACAGCATACAGAGCAGTGAATGCTAGGTGTAACATTGGTTCTCTTCTCATTGAACCAGCCTGTCACTCAAAAGCTTGGAGTTCCTCATTGGATTTAAAACCAGAAATTTCTGACCATTTCATACAGTGGAGGCAAATCTACTAATTATTTTTTTTTTTAAAGCCTGTTTTCAAATACCAAATAAGCCATATCTCTATCACTGCATTGCCCAGGTAATTTTGCTGCCTCAAACTTATGTTCGTGGTTGCCTGTCCATGGGATGGAGTCACATTTACCCGACGTGCTTCTAACAGCTGATGGGAGAGGATAGTTATGTTAACAAGAAAATTTGTTAAGATGTTTTGCTGTCGAGTTCTTTCATAATTCTTTTTATATAAATTGCTGTATTGTTCCTATTTGCCTCTTCTGGCCTGTGTGCCAGGATTTATTTCCAAACAACAATAGCAAGAAAAGGAGCATGAAATTCTAATTCATATCCCACTGGGTAAAACACTGTACACATCACAGCTATCTTGACCTCCTGCTTTAATCTATAACATGTGTTGTTGCTGGCTGAGTGATTCACAGAGGAGAAGAAAAGCTGGTAGTGTTGATCTAACCGTGACACTTAACGGGTTTGTAGATTAAGCATCTTCTAATGACCAAATTGCTCCACGTTCTTCTCTCTCAATGGAAAAATGGACTTCAATTCTGTGCTTTTTAAAACAAGTTTTCCATCTGGGAGAGGTTTGTACCCCTTGATGTCAGACTGGTTTACATAGAGCACACAAGATTGTCTTTTATTATTTAACAGGAAATAATAATGCAATGTACTCTGCTGGAAAATGGAAGATGTTAGAGAATTGAGACGTTTCATCTTCTCAACAGTATCTTTTGCTTCCCACTTTGCATAGTTGGTCAATTATCTCTGAGGAACATTAGTTCAATCATTCACTCTTTTACTTCTTTTTTATGTTCTTTTTTCTGTTACTGTGTTGGTGCTGCACTGCTTGGAATTATTGCTAAGGGAGAAAATAGCAGCCACTTTCTCATAAAATCATACCTTCTATACTGGAGGTGAATTATGTGCTTGTTAGCTTTGCAAGTGATTGGATTCCTATTTCCTTTTTCATTATAGTTTATTGATTTGTGGGTTTTTTAATAGAATTCTTCGCTTATTATTCAAATAAACAATAGCTTTTAACCCAAAGGCTGTTCTGTTGAGCACTGCTGAGTTTTGTTACCTATCAAACATTACTTATCTTGGGAGTTTCTCTGTTCTTCCAGAACTTTCTTAGAATCCTCTGTTGTGTGCCTCTACTCATTCTCCAATATTTGCAGCATATTGCCTTACCCCAGGAGGATAAAGGAAGGAGACCTGAGTTTGAAAGCTTCAAATAAGCACAGTGAGCATGGAGTCTCTTTTACATTGACACTACTTTGGTTAGCAGAGAAGATGAGGTACGACTGTAGTCAGTGATAGAACATCCCTAAAGTGTTTGATGAGTAATAAATAAGTCTGTACAAGTATGTATACATCTGTGTACTTACAGTATGCTCATGCGTGCACGTGTCGCTGTGAGCACCCAGATTTTCATTCTCATCTTTATGTTCTGAATAGCAAAGCCATCACTGGTCTCTGAAATTACCTTGATAGGTTAGGGGTTGTTTTCTGGTTTCTATAAAACCTTCTGCAATTCACTTTTTGCCACGAGGATTTATCAGCACGTTGCGACAGGACTGAACCCTTCATTTAATTCTGTTAGTCTGCTGATTTGGAAACTGAGGTTGTTTTGTGCCTCTGAGAAATTATACGTAGTACTGGATTAAAAAAAAAAAAAAAGAAAACTACTATGAAATTGTGCAGCTGGGAAAGGCTGCATGGTAGTAAAATATCCCACATACGCGTTTGTTTAATGAATACAGCTCTGGTTCCCAGTAGTGGTTACATTGCTGAGAGAGGCATCTGCCACAGCTTAATTCTGCAGCTGATGAATGATTTGTCT